GTAGAACTCACCAGTGAAGCCATTTTTACCATGATTTTTTAAATAAAATAATAATCTGGACAAAAACATTATAAAAAAAATATGCTTATGGTGATGCTTACTTATTAGACAGTCGGTAAAATCCAAACAAATAGGTAGAAGAAATTACTCTACTCATTCCTGGTCATCACAGGCCCCAGAGTCAACAAGAACCAGCAGGCAGTCCTGTTGAACAGCCCCTTCTTGAAAGCCATGGTCCCCACCTATCCAGTAAGTGATTAATAGGGGACTTGGCCTTTGTCCCAGTGGTCAGTGACCACCAGCTCGAGGTTACTGACCCCTAGCATAATGATAACAAAGGCCCTGTGACTTTGCCCATCTCATGGCTCTGAAGCCTGGGATGCACTCTAGGATGCCATAGCCTAGAAACCTCCATTTACTGGCACTCATGTGGAGTTTGTGATGGGAAAACTTGTCTCACTTTGCTACCTGCCTGGAAGAGGATGCAAGAGTTCAGAAGGGTGGTAGGATTGGAGTACAGCCATAAGCAGGGACTAAGAAGGGGCCCTAGTACCAGACCTGATGATGCCATTAGTTTTCTGAGCATTGTTGAGTAAGTCACAGACCCTCTCAATGTCTCTATATGGAAAAGACTGGGTAGCTCTGATGCTCTGTCTCTGAGCTTCATTCTGAGCCCCAGCTCTTGGGACACTGGCTCCCCGTGCAATCATACCCAGTACCCCAAGTTTCTGAACCTCAATGCTCCCATCTGTAAGATATACCAGGTCACCCCAAAGGGCTCCTACAGGAACCAGAGAGTCCAGGGCCCTCATCCTGATGAAGGAGCCATGGTAGTCACCACATGCCACCTCACCTCTGGGCCCAGGCATCTCTGGGAGAAGAGAGAGAAGAGAGGAGAGGGGAATCCTATATTGAGCCCCATGCTGCTCATCTTCTCCTCACAACTTCTGGGTGGAATATTAAAGTTTGCCTTTTATGAACAGAGAAACTGAGGCTCAGGGGGTTAAGTCATTTGCTCTGGGTGGCTCAGTGTGAAGAGGCATTATGAGAATCAAACTCCAGTCTGGCTGGCTCCAGGTTCATACTCTGTCTGGGGACATGCTGAGAGTCTCCTGACACCAGCCAGCCTGGGTAGGAGCAACGGTGTCCTTTCCAGGTTAAGGATCAGCCAGGAGTCTGTGGGGTACAGTCCCCAGCATGACCCACAGGCCAAAGCAGGAAAGCCTTTTCCCTCTCCCAGGAAACCATGGGTGTGCCTGAGACACAGGCATGTCCTAGCAAGTTCCCTAGTTCGTAGACACTAAGAAAGGATGGAGGTGCACCCACACCTCATGCCACTCAGCACGAAGGCTGTTGGAAGTGCACTTGACCTCTGACCTTGGGTGCACTTTGTCTGACCAGAAACACAATACATTAGCAACTGACACAAGATGAAGCTGTACAGCCCCCATCCTTCTCCACTGTAGTCTGACCCTCTGTCTCTCTGGGGCTCCCAGGCAGTGATTAGAAACCAGAGGAGGCACCCTCCCTTGCGTAATACAAATGCCTTGGCTTGGTCTGAGCGACATCGCCCCATTCTTTTTCTTTTCACCCCATACATGTTGTTTTTGATTTCCCAGGCAGCTGGCCACTTACTTGATTTCCCAGGAATCCCTCTCATAGCTTGTTTGCTTTGTTGCTCACTGTAGTTCCTGGGCCCCTGTGACCTAGGATTCTGCTAGCTAGTACAATGGACAGTAAACTGAGAAGTCAGTTTTGAAACCCAGAGAACCTGGACATGATTCAGTGAAGTCTGGGGAACCCTGTGTTTGAGAATTTCACAGATTCAGCTCCTATGATAAGGGTCTCAGTTTCCCCATTTATAAACTGGAGGAAGCAATACATGGCTCATGAAACACTAAAGAGACCCAAGGCCCCATACAATAGCAGAAATTCCCCAAAGCTAGCACACTTCTTTCATGAACAGAACCTGGCTTCTTGGACTTAACAACCTTTCTTTCCTATGTATGTGTGGTGCATTTCTGTCTAGTCTGGACTGTGTGACTTGGAGCAAGTTACTTTACCTCTCTGAGCTTCAGGTTAAAATACAAGTCAAACCTACTGCCATCGAGTCAATTCCAACTCATGTTGTTGTTGTTGTTAAGTACTGTAGAGTTGGTTTCAACCCATAGTGACCCTGCACAGGGTTTCCAAGGCTGTAAATCTTTACGGGAGCAGAATGCCTCATCTTTCTCCTGTGGCACCACTGGTAGTTTCAAACTGCTGACCTTGTGGTTGACAGCCCTACTCGTAACCACTACGCTACCAGAGCTCCTTAATTCCAACTCATGGCAACCATGTAAAAAGTTTCTGAAAGTGTAAATCTTTTAGGAGCAGATAACTGCATCTTTCTCCCTCAGAGCAGCTGGTGGCTTAAACTGCTGACCTTTAGGCTAGCAGTCTAGTGCTTATCTACAGTACCACCAGGGCTCCTCTGTAAATAGGGGTAGTGATGCCCAGTTGCAGGATTACTGAGAAACTTGACAACTCGATGGCCATCTGGTACACAGATCTTAGAACACATAGAGACCCTTGATGAAGTAGGGGCCAGAAGAATTCTGTCAATGTTTCTTGGCCAAAGGTCAGGTGCTCAGCAGGGTGATGGAGCCTGGCCATGCTGCTTCTTGAGTCACAAAATCGAGAGACTAACTTAGGATCATTCTTGTTGGTGCTGATCCAAGTCATTGATGACACCAAACTTTATAATCCAAATGTATGTATTGATGCCAGAAATCACTTTAACCCACTGCTAAAGAATAAGAGTGAACACATCGCTGTGCTCCCTGCATGTTTTCCCATCTTTCAGGGAAGATTGACTCTCAGAAGGAGATCCTTTCAGTGAGCTGGGAACCCTTCAAGCATTTTCCTCTGTAAACATGGCAGACATCTGACTGGCAGGATTTCTGTAAGCTTCTACCTTCTAGCTGAACTCTCCTGTCCTGTAAACTGCTGAATGCAGAGCAGTTTGGAATTCGGCACTACTGTTTCCGATTTCCTGTGAACGTGCTGTGAAGGGAGATAAACAAAGTCTGCCTCTGAACAACATTAGGCAGAAAGCCTGTGGCTTCGGGAGTCCTGCATGTGGCAGATTCATAGTCTCAGGAATTTGTCTAGGAATGATATACATTTTCTCATGACATCGTGGGAAATGATTAATTTTATACTGTTCAATTATTGCAATGAAGAAGTCATTGGTATTGCAAAATTCTACCATGCAATCTTCAGCATCATTTCTATCACCAAAATATGAGAGCCATATTTTTCACCCACTGATCCTGCCTCTTTGTTTTCAACCTTCGCATCTCAATCGCCAGTAATTCTCAATATATCTTGAATGAATATTTGATCAATTTCAGACTGAAGAAGTTAGTTGTTGTTGTTGTTAAGTGCTGTTGAGTTGGTTCCAACCCATCGCAACCCTGTGTATGATTTTCAAGCAGCATATGGAGAGCTTGAACTGCCAACCATATGTATTAAACAGACCGTGCAGTTCAGTGAGTGGACCCACAGTGCCATACAATTTCATCATCAGTGGCTTTAGAGATCAGTGCCTTATTGTGAATAATAGTGGTATTAACTGGTAGTCCCATTAGGTGTAAGGATATTTTCCTACACAAACAGCATTGTACTTCAAGTGACCTTGATATGTTCTTTTTGATAATGATATGACACCATTTCTCTTCAATTTGTCATTCCTGGCATAGTAAACCATGTTATTGCCAGATTCAAAATGGCCAATACCAGATCATTTCAGCTTACTAATGCCTAGGATATCAATGTTTATGTATTTCATTTCATGTTTGACAATTCCCAATTTTCCTAGATTCATACCTCGTACATTCCATTTTCTAGTTAATGCATGTTTACAGTTGTTTTTCTCCATTTTGAGTTGTGACCAATCATCAAATGAAGGTCCCGAAGGCTTTATTCCATTCGGGTCATCACAGTCAACTCTACTTTGAGGAGTCAGCTCTTCCCCTGTCATATTTTTAGTGCCTTCCAACCTGAGGGGCTCATCTTCTGGCACCATATCTGACAGTATTCTGGTGCTCATCACCATGTTTCAAAATTCAATGTTCTGGTGCTGAATAGGAGCTAGAAACCAGAAATTAGTCAAGACTCAAGGGAGTTAATCATCCTATTGCCTGGGCCTCAACTCACTAGCTAGTGCATGTGAAGAGTGTCAGACTCCCATTTTACATGTTTTCCCAGTTGAACATTTGTTAAATGTCCAGTCACTTTCGACTCATAGGGTTTCCGAGGAGCAGCTGGTAAGCTTGAACTGACGAACTTGCAGTTCAAATGCCTTTGAGGGTCCAAATTGAACAAAGAGAAATCCTCTTTGGCCCAACTTTGGTCAAAGGGAAAAATCAGATACTGCTAGGGTCCCATAGATTCATGCCTAAGAATGGGGGTTCTCATGGGATGGGGCAACTAGGGACTTGATGCATCAGACGACATATTGCATTAGGCAAATCTGCTGCACGAGACCTTTTTAAAGTGTTGAAGAGCAAAGATGTCAGCTTGAGGACTAAGGTGCGTCTGACCCAAGCCATGGTATTTTCAATAACCTCATGTGCCTGCTAAAGCTGAACAGCTTTGAATAAGGAAGTCCATAGAAGAATTGATGCTTTTGAGTTATGGTGTTGGAGGAGAATATTGAAAGTGCCATGGGCTGCCAAAAGAACAAATAGACCTGCGTTAGAAGAAGTGCAGAAAAAGTGCTCCTTGGAGGCCAGGATGACCAAACTTCTCTAATACTTCGGACATATTGTCAGGAGGGACCAGTTCCTGGAGAAGGATATCATGTTTGGTAGGTTGAAGGGTCAGAGAAAAAGAGGCAGACCCTTAGCGAGATGGATTTGCAATGCGGCAGCATCAATGAACTGCAGCGTGGCAACAATTATGAGGTTGGCCCAAGACTGGGCAATGTTTCATTCTGTTTTACATTGGGTCGCTATGAATGGGTGCTGACTCAATGGCACCTAACAACAACAACAACAACAATAGGTAATTGATGTTTGTGGTACTGAATGGGCGATACTGTAAAATGTTTAGGTGCCTTCTCTCAAAACCAAAACCATTATAGTTGAAAGATTAAATTATATTTATGATCGAGTAATTCAGTATGCCTTACTATGATCTAATTATTTTTTAAATTAAGGATTCCTTTTACCAAGAGTATATAATTAACCAAAGACTATTTTAAC